GATCACTGGCTATCTCCCGGACCTCTAGTTACCACTCACCCTTCCTTGTTTTTCTCACACCTTGCGGCCTAACATTTCGGTGCAACAAGTTTTCCAAGGCGGGTTTGATTTGTGCTTAAGACCCAGGCTAACGCGAGCGGCGATTGCCGAGCTCGACTCTCTCCTAGCTGTCTTGCAGGATGTCCGGCACCTTACAACAACACAATGGCCATTCAGTTCCAGAGACGCTTACGATGCTCTATCGCCTTCACCCTCCACACAAGACTTCCACGGGCGCTGGATTTGGAAGATGAAACTGCCAAACAAAGTGAAAATATTTGCATGGCTATACTTCAAAGATAGACTCAGTACAAAGGCAAATCTGTTCTACAAAAACGTGAAGGAAGATGCCATTTGCAGCCGCTGTGTGAACATCCCATGGAAGATAGGCATCATACCTTCTTTGGCTGTCCGCTCAGCCGCGACACTTGGAACACAATTGTGGTGCTTGGCCTACTGTCTACCGTGGATGATACTGATGTTTGGACACTGCCAACGGCTGTGCAACAGGACCCTGCTACCTGGCCCTCAATCCTGCTTACAATTCTATGGCGCTTATGGGAAGCTAGGAACGACACGATCTTCAGAAGTGAAAGACATTTGGCGCGAGAAGTGATTGGCCGTATCTGCGACGACCTCACCATTTGGGAAGGAAGATTTTCTGCTTCCTCCATGATCCCCGGCCTACGCCGATGGTGTACCTTTCTTCGATCGTGTGTATATGTAAATCAGGGACGCCAATAGTCCCCTGTAACTGTAACTTCTATGCTGTACCCGAAACTCTGAGTTCGTTAATACAAATTCAGGCGGGGAAGCTCTCCCCTCCGTAGTTTTCTTTCAAAAAAAACCCTACCTGACCCAAGTGTTTTTGGGTGGCGCGCCCCGGCCGGCCCGGTCATGCAGCAGAACGGCGCGCTCCGTCCCTGCTGCCTGTGCCTGTGCCTGCCATAGCAGGACGTGGACAATCTGCCACCACCTAAGAGCAAGCCAGATCCTTATAGCCAAGCCATATCATTTAGAGACTAGCTTAATAGACCATTCGTACAACAGTTGGCTTTTTCACCTGTTCCGAATCATATATGTTATTAATATTAGGCACCACCGCCACATCCACCATCTTCCTCCCTCTTCCCGTGGGAACACACGAGTCGACGCAAACGATCGACGGGACTACTGATCATGGGAGCAGAGCACAGGGAAGCGCCGCCCCGGTGAACAGTCATGCATGGCAGCCTGGCAGGGAGCCCGGGTCCGGGATGGGCAGGTACTTCCCAACGATGTGATGTGCCCTGGGTCAGGCGGCCAGGCCCCAGCCTCACACGTCGACGTCCTACTCCGGCACATGCATGCCGTGCAAATCTTTTAAACAGGACAGCATCGATGCGGTACGACGCACGTTCGACAGTGCTCATCTCACATGTGCGAAACAGGGAGCTCGCCAAGCCTCCACCCGCGGTGCTCCCGCGCAATTTCTAGATATATATACTCCGTACACTTCAACTTAATCCGCTGGTTGTTTCGGTCAGGGCATATCAACAGTCAACGAACCAAAGAACAGACCGAATATCTGAGAGAAAACCGATCACTGAGTTTATGTTTAGTTTTCTGTAACTTTTCTGAAAATTTCTATACAACCTTTTTTTTTTGCCGGTGTTAGTTGTTACATATAGCCTTTTTTAGCCCGTGTTTAGTTCCAAAAAAGTTCAAAAAAGTGCTACAGTAGCCATTACATCGAAGCTTGCGATACGTGCATGGAGCATTAAATGTAGACGAAAAAAAACTAATTGCACAGTTTTGTTGGAAATCGCGAGACAAACGTTTTGAGCATAATTAGTTCATGATTGAACACTAATTGCCAAATAAAAACGAAAGTGCTACAGTAGCCAAATTCCAACTTCCCCCAACTAAACACGCGCTTAGATAAAAGGAAAGTGCACAGTTTTATATGAAGGTGGGTGTTCTGGTCACCTCTTTGTCAAAGCTTTTAAAAACATTTTTCCCCTTAATAAACTTTACACGCCACTTTCCCTAAACAAATTTCTAGTTATACTTCGACCATTTTCTAAAGAAACAAAATGGTTTTTTACTCTTCATTCCCAATTTTTTAATGTTAAGTTTTCTAAAGATACTGTGTCTGTGAAAGTTTTTTTTGTTTGTTTGTATAACTAGATCTTTAAGTGAAAGTTTTCTGAGCCCACCTTTTTTTGCCGGGTCTTTCTATTAATTACACTTGTGTGAAATTTTTTTATTGATTCCAACTTATTAGCTTATTAATTGGCCAATGAAACGAGTCTCCACACTATTTTTGAAAAGGCCGCTTAGCTACAAATAACCATATTAATTGAAGGAAATAAATTTGAAGTGCTAATACACATCTTTATAAAGTTACCCATCACTTTCATTACACAAAAATTGTCCCCCCATACATATACATATTATGCTATCACAAACTCATGCAGTTATTCAGAAAAACACAAAACAATATAAAAAGATAAACAAAAAAGGCAACCGCATGTGTATTCAAATGATATATTGCTACCTCTGTCAAAAAAACGTTAACGTTTAAGGATTTTTAGGACAGACTAAGAAAGATGTGAAAAGACTATGGATGCCCATATTAACTAGTGGTTATTCTAATTTTCAAGGGTTGCAAAGCCTAACAGTTGGACGAGAGAGGTGTTGATTTAATGCACGTGACCATGGGCCCCACTGACGGTACAAATCTAGAATGATGTATTGTATGGGTGAGTTCTAAAATATCAAGTTTTTTGGGTATAGAGATAATATATGATAAAAATACAAACATATTTCAATACGAGAAATTTAAGAAAATAAAAAATAGTAAACAAATAAAAAACCATAACAATATATCGATATTGCAGAAAAATACAAACGTTGGTGTTTATGAGTTGCATAAAAACACAAATATTCGTGTTTGCGAGTCTACCTAGTCAATATTATTGTTTCCTAATGATGTGTTTGGCAACTAGGTGGGAAGAGGCATGAGAATTAGTGAATTAAAGTGGGAAATTGACTTTTAGTCACAAACTCTTGTTTGATTCATGAAGGGAAATAAGAGAGGAAATTGAAGAGGGAATTTATATCCCCTGTTTGGTATGGGGGTTTTGAGGGAGAAATTAAAAGGCAAATTATGATGGACGATGTGGTTCTACTTTTCTTTTATTAAGAACACAACTTTCACCCAATTCCTACCCCTCCCCTAGGGAATTGATTAGTAGGAGATGACCCTCTAAACCCTCCTTCCCTTTTCCACCAGAATTGACATTCCCACGAAACAAACAAAAAAATTCTAAACTTCTATATCTAAACTCCCATTCCCTGCTACCGATTACCCCAACCAAACGAGCTGTCAAGAAATGAAGGGGGGTGGATGACCGACAAGGCGACAAGGGCTGGATCCGCCGCTGAGCTGCTCTAGGGCAGGCCTCGTGTGGCCATGCGGCGGCCGACCCTACCTGGTTTCTATCCCACATCTCATTAGGCCCAGTGTTGTCTGGCCCAAATCTGATTTCCCGGCCCTCCCTGGTGGCCTCAGTCTAGAGGACCGAAACTTGTTTCGTCGCTTGGGTTTCAGATCGCGATCATCCAAAGGTGTCTTACCAACAGCGGCAGCAGCTCCCTCTTCGTCGTGGACCAATAAAAGGAAATGGCCCAATAAAACATGTAATGGGCCATAGAAGAGAAGATAATGTGCTACGTCACACTCAGCTCAGCGACCGCACTGACTAAAGCTTGTGTTTTTTTTTTACTTGCAACAACCAGTTCTTACCGCAGAGTCCTCTGTCCTAAAATATACAAGGGATAAAAGTTTGTTAGTCAAATATGTTATAATAAAAAGAAAAATATTAACAGTCACCACATCAAAGATGTTATATTATAATCAAGAGAAACAATTGAACATCTCTTGTTTGATTGCTTATATGCTAAATTTCTCTAGAGAGCGGTGCACTTTGTACTAGATTTGAAACCCTAAAAGATGCTCATGATATTTGTTACAGGTGGTACAAACAAGGAGTTTTTTTTTCCAATTAATCCTTGTTGCTCTTTGTATTGAGTTTGAAACCCCAAAAGATGTCCATTATCTTTTTTACACGTGGTACAAACTAGGGGGAGATTCAAATCAATCCTTGTGCTCTTTGTACGGTTTGAAACCCCCAAAAATGTCCATTATCCTTTTTACAGGTGGTACGAACAAGGGGCAGTTTCAAATCAATCCTGGTTGATGATAGGATGTGCAGCCATTTGCTGGATAAAATGATTTACAAGGAATGAAGTTGTGTTTAACAAGTGTCGACATAAAACTTTTTTGTAGGTTATATTTAGAGAAACGTACTGGCCATGCTAATAGACACAATTTTAGTGGGGTGAAGCCAATAAAGAACACATTCTCCAAGTTTGTTAAGTGCTAGAGACGATGACACTGATTTTTTTTCTTCCTTTGGATGGCCTAATAATGTTAGAATTGACATTTGAGTGGGACATTTGTGTGGTTAAACAATTTTTTTGTAATAAGTGGTATGATTCTCTTGTTGACAAGAGATGAAGCCAGATCTATTTCCATTATCTAAAATACAAAAAATCATAATATATTAATAACACTAATTTGATTTCATAAATATATATATTTTTATAAATTTGATGAAACATTGCATAGTTTGACTTGAAACAAATTTAAATCTCATATAGTGGAGGAGCAAGAGAGTAAAAACTAAAAACAGTGTAGGATGCACGCATGGTTGGGGGCGTTCCCTATTCCCCAGTCCTGACTTCCACCTAAGCAGCAGCAGGGAAAACCACCAAGGTTTTTCTTTCTAGACGAAAGGCCACGGAGGCAGCCGATCCATTGGTTTTTCATTTATTTACATGATTGATTATTTACATATCTGATTATAGAGGGATGCTCAAGCCACAACGTCAATTCCCAAAGCACACCGGGAGGATCATGCGTTGAACACGGTGCCGCAACCGCCACCACAGCCTCCACCGCCGCAGCCAGAGCCGCAGCCGCCGGACACAGAGTTCTGGCCCTCACTGCCGGCCTTGGTGCTCACATTGAACATGGTGCCATAGCCACCCCCGCCGCCACAACCGCCACCGCAGCCAGAGCCACAGCCTCCGAACTTGGCGTGCCTGCCGTTGGAGCCTTCGGCGACCATGCTGCCACTACCGCAGCCTCCGCCGCCACAGCCGGAGCCGGAGCCGCAGCCGCCCCCGGGTCTGGACTGGCCTTGGTCGGCCGCAGTGCCGCCCGAGCTGAACAGGGTGCCGCAGCCTCCTCCACAACCGCCACCGCAGCCAGAGCCGCAGCCACCAGACTTGGCATTGTTGGTCTTCGAGCCTTCGATGCCCATGCCGCTGCCACAGCCAGCACCGCCGCACCCGGAGCCGCAGCCAGCTGACTTATTGGGCAGACCCTGGGCGGCAGCAGTGCTGGCGTTGAACAGGGTGCCGCAACCACCACCACAGCCGGAGCCACAGCCGCCGGACTTGGCGGTGTTGGTCTTGGAGCCTTCGATGACCATGCCGCTGCCGCAGCCACCACCACAGCCAGAACCACAGCCACCACCGCAGCCTCCAGACCTGGGCTGGCCCTCACTGGCCATGGTGCTGGCCTTCAGCATGGTCCCACAGCCTCCCCCACCGCCGCAGCCACCACCACACCCGGAACCACAGCCTCCGGACTTGGCATTGTCGGCCTTGGAGTCCTCAACCACCATGGGTCCACAGCGGCTTCCACAGCCAGCAGCAGATTCAGTGTGGCCGTTCTCACCACTTGCAACGACTGTGCGAGAAGCACCTGAGCTAGCATGTTCAGCCTTGAAGCCCACCACAACTTTGTCACCACCGAACGCCGTGCTGCAAGTGCCACATTGTGCAGGAGCCGTTGCCACGCTCCCTGCTCCGACAGTCTGTGTCTCTAGCACAATGCTAGTGTCAGATCCAAACAATGCATCCTTCTGAGCCATGGCACCACCGATAAGTTTCACACTGTCCTTGTCATCGGCGTCCATGAACAGGACCGATGTCGTGATCCATGGAAGTAGGAACCAATCCTCATTCACCTATAAGAACGACGAGCATGATTATGTTAGTGCAAAAAAAATGTTAAGAAAAGAAAGGAAAAGAAAATTCAGGTTTCAAATGATAAGACAAATAGAAGTGTACCATGATAAGCTGAGATTCAGTGTCTAGCAAGGCAACAGCTTTGCCATATGGATGTTCAGCACAGAACTTTACAGCAGTAACAGCTGTAACATCCTCAGAATGAGAGCTGCAGCATTTGCGCTCGATTCAGTTTCCTTCCTGATAGAGCTTGATCTGGTTTTTTCAAACATGTACAAAAAATTTGAGCTTGCTACATGAATACTAGCTAGTGGTCATTACAGTGAACTGAGCTTGAGTTATGCATGCTTACCAGTTGGTTGAAACCTTTGAGATCGAGTAGACTGCCATCAGTGCCATGACTAATTGACAAGTTGGAGTCTTTTAGGGTCCACTTATTTTCCTTGAATTCTGCAAGCTGAAATTGCTTTTTTGGTGACTTCAATACTCCAACCAATTCTCGAACAGAAGCCATGCCATTCTTTGCCTTGTGCTCTCTGGGATACAGTGGAGTCATTAGTCTCATTTTTGCTAGCATGATTCAGATTAGTAGTAATTGACAAAAATGTTCTTTTTTACAGGAACGGAATTTTTTTCTCAACCTGCTTAACCTGGCAAATAAAGACATACTGTTCTATATACCAGTAACTAAAGTCCTTCCACTAGCCAAATGAACTGTAGGCTGATCTGAATGAATAGTTATAGATTTCTTCATAAGAGGAACATCAGCTCCAACTGCAACTACCGATTTCCATCTTTGCATACTCAACCTCATTTGGAAGATGTAATAGATGGCCATAGTGGCAGTAGTGTATACTACAATGTGTATTACTAGTCAGTATCAAACACATTGTTTGACTTACAGTTCTACCTATCTGTTCAATCGCAGATAAGTATCTGTTCATTTCATAATAAATGAAGAAAAATACCTTATCTGAAGACGGATAAGCTCAGTACCACAATCATATACGAAACGAGTCCAGGTGCTCATGTTCTGATCCTTGATGGAATGTGGCAGAAGACACGACTTGAGAGAGAAAGGCTCCATCGTGACCATACTGAACACCTTCTGAAAGCTGCTTGGGACAGTAGCAGAAGCTGCAACATGAAGACTAACAGGAGGGGAAGTGGCATGCCCACCATGAGTTTTCAGTTCAAACCACTTCTCGAAGGAGAGCTTAGAATCAGGCCCTATCAAATCTTGCAGTGGGAAAGAAACCTTCCCTATTGGTTCTGGTTTCTTTGATACCTGATCAACCATTACTACAAGAATGAGTTCTCCGGTAGGTTCACACTGTAAACAAACTCCAGTGTTCTTCCCTGTAACTGTTGAAATATCCAACCTGCCACCGTCACTGATAAACATATCTGATTGATTCTTGGTGAACCGTACATACACATTTTCTTTTCGAACAGCAGATGGCAAATTCTTGATGTCCACAATTTGTAAATATAACTGCAAAGGACGAGATGTTCAAGTCTTAATTTAGTAGAAACACTTTGGCAGAAGAACTGCTTGCATCAGAATTTACGAAATTATCATATCAGTTATGTATCCAGAAACAACTGTTTATAAAAGTCATCGTTCATTAGTAGTATGACATGCATCATTTTGGACTCACTATCAGATCAGATCATTCAAGCTAGATATTACTTTTTTTTTGTAATAACTGTAACATAAAGAAGAGAGAATCATACCTCTACAGATGTTATATCGAGGGCATTAAGATCCTTCTGAGTTTTGCAGATGTCAGACCCCGTTCCAACCTCAGTACTGAATATCTGAGGAGTGGATGTCACAGGAGATGGCATGTTGCCACGGTACATACATCCAGCCTTCCAGTATCTTAGACCAAAGGTACTCTCAAACTGTTCAGTAGTCTCAGTGAATCCAACATCAAGTTTCTTTCCTTCAGATCGATCAGCATCGGTGTCATCATGCTCCAGAACTTTTCCAAGAAGCTTCACCATGTCGTCGCGGTAGGTAACAGGATGCAGCTGGTGAGTGTGCCACAAGAGATCCACATCGTGAGGTCGATTACACGGAAGCGTTGCAATCCTTTTCTTGATTCATTTTGATCAGGTACAGAAATGCCTTGTATCGAGCTAGAGCTTCTTGGAGAAACCGTGGATCATGCATTGTTGGTGTTCCAACCTGTCAGAAAGAAGTGACACTTTCTTATTTTCTGTACATATCATTTTATCTATTGTAAGGACGACCAATGAAAAAAAATCAATAGCTGTCACCTGCACTAACTAGGTCAATTAATCTAGGTGAACATCTGTAGTGTGTTGTTAAAAAAAAAGGTTTCCTTTTCAGTGTATAATAATATGAAGTATAACTTAAAATAGTATAAAATTTACTATTTATAAGTCAACCCATAATATTGTATCAATAGTTATGTATGTATCATATATATACTGGGGCGAAGATTGTGCAAGTACCTGATAATAGAAAGAGGATTGCCTCTTAACAGCAGACACCAGATCATAGGTAATGTCCTCTGCAGCTCCAGGGTTCACATCCATCGCAACGTCAGAGGTTCTTGTGAACACCAATTCGAAGGGCTCCTCAGGATACAACTCTTTCCAAATCTTTTCTGACTGAAGTGTTGATTTTGTTTGAGTGGACGACTCAACATTGTTATTGTTCAGTATTCTACCATATACTTTCTTGCAGTCCCTTATGTACTGAACCTGAAAGATGTGTGCTTGAATAATTAGTTCCCTCAGTTCTGTGAATAGCATCATCAACAAGAGTACAGGATACAAGTTGCTTTCATAAAATATTTGCAAATAGAGTCATAATATATAATCAGTAAAAATAATGCAGTTGGCTGCCTGATGCAGTGTTCAGATCATCGTGAATTACAGAGGATCATTGTGGTAAGGATGTGTACCGGGTTAAGCCGATGGCAGTGCCATATCCACTCACAATCAAGAGGAACAACCAATGGGCCATCTACAACCGCAGCCTTAGTGTGCTTATCAAGAAGGGGAAGCCAGCATGCTTTGTACCTAGCATATAGCAACAAAACCAAACAAAAAAAGTCAATGGGGTATTATATCTCAGCACATGAATCAGCACCACAATTTTTCTGTATTGGTAGTACAGGAGATTATCCCAGCACAAGAAGAAACATTATCATGGAACTATCAGTAATTCAACATGACAGTGACTTGTTATGTGACATGCAGATCATTTTCAGGTAAATATCTCCAGCTAAGGCCAAAAAAACAGAGCAAGACTATTTACAGTTGGTCCCAGCTCTCTGCTGAATTCTGCCCCCAAAGCTGAAGTTCAGGCACCTGGCCTCCTTACTATCCAACTAGAGATTTCTTAGATCGATTTTCATCAAGAAGATCGTTGCTTCATTACAGGAATAAAGAGGAACTTGCAGTCAAGATTCATGTACCAGCACTTTCCATCTATGGTTGCTTTACATTACAGAAATAAAGAGGAACTTGCAATCAAGATTCATGTACCAGCATTTTCAATCTCATGAGTTCCCTAAAGATTCACTGAACGTATCATGCATCGGAGCCGACAAAGATGAACAGTCCACGACCAGTCATGAAGCAAGCAATAAAAACGTCCCTTGCTTTCTCCAAGAGCCAAAAGCCGAAGGGGGAAGAAAAGCAAACAAACTTTTATTTTCCGCAAACAATGATCCGTACCTGCGTATGGCCCGGTCGAGTAGGGGGCCCTCGTAGAGCCACCGGCGGCGGTCCACCGCCGCGAGGAACTGCAGCTGCCGCAGCGCCGCCGCGACAAGGTCCGCCCCGACGGGGACCCCCTCCTGCGCCGCCGCCCACCGCGCCGCCTGCTCCCCGTCCATCTCCTCCTCCCCTCGCCGCCTGCGGAATCTATCACCACAAGGTCAGACGGCAGTGTGTGGCTATTCGCACGCCGGCGGACGAACGGGCTCCCTTCTTGATTTGTCGCTGCGGCACTGCGGCAGCCAGAAAGAATCCGCGACACGGTTTCTTGCTCGGGACCGTTTGAGTTTGGTATTTCAGAGCTGAAAAAAGGTTGGATTTTTTTTTATACCGAGTAGGAACAGTGCGTCTCTATCATATCTGTCTCGGATTTGATTTTTTTTTTGAACAAACTGTCCCGGAATCGTCTTCTCGAAAAATCAAGAAGTTTTGAAATCGTCGAAAAAGCAGCACTAACATCTTTTCTTTCTCACAAACGGAAGAGGAGTTCGAATTCGAAGGCACGCTGCAGCACAGCAGAGGACTGTAGTGGACCATCTGTAATGATCTCGCATCTCTCCCTCTCTTTTTTCTTAAAAAGAAGATACACTATTATGGAGTAGTAGTGTGAATCAAAGAGATGCAGAGGATGCATGAATTACACTATGCTAGCAGCTGAACAGCCGGACCGGCTGAACAGAAGGATGCGAGGAAGAACCTGAGCGATTGCAGTGCAGGAGAGAGCTCCTCAGAGTGGCACTGGTGCATCTGCTGCTACCTCTTCAGCTCCGGAGCTCCCTTCCCTATTTATAAAGGCAGTTGGTGAAGTGGACAAGCAATGACAATGAATGAAGTATTGAGCTGGACATCATCGCTTTCTTATATCTTTACATACTTGAACCATTACTACATGACAGCGGCGGTTAAAGCCTTAGGTGAAGTACCGATTTTTCAGCTGAAAACCCTGTCCCTGTGTACCCAAGTTGAGTGTGCAGTGCTCCCTCCTGCACCATATTATATATAGCTCCTCAACGGAAAAGGGGCCGGGCATCATCATCGTTTTCTTGTGTTTGCTTGCATTGGTGGTGTCAGCTACTACCAGAATCAGGCGAGCCGTTTCGCGGCGTGCTGCGTGAAGCAACACACACAGGAAACGGGTCGGCCAGATCGCATTCAGTGCTGCAGATCTGCTCCTAATCTCGACCGCCTTTCCACTAGCATTCCTCTTGTTTGGACGCATGCAGTTGATTTGATGAATCAGCAGGTGACGTGTGCGCCTGCCATGTTATCCTTTCCCTCTGCAGATATGGATATTTTCAGGATGAATCACTGCACATATGCCAATGATGAAGAGTTGAGTAAGGCTGTGTTTAGTTGTAGGAAGTTGGAATTTGGGGCTACTGTAGCACGTTCGTTTTTATTTGGCAAATAGTGTTCAAACATGGATTAATTAGGCTCAAAATGTTCGTCTCGCAATTTTCCACCAAACTGTGCAATTAGTTTTTTTTTTCGTCTACATTTAATGCTCCATATAAGCTGCAAACATTCAATATAATAGGTACTATACTACTTTTTAGAATTTTGGCTTCAACTAAACACGCGCTAAAGGAGACTTTCTTGAATCATCCACGCTAGCTACTGCTACTAGTAGTTTTCCCAACGCCCCCCCTCCTTGGGGGAAGATGATGCTAGATGCCGGGTTGGTTGCACCTAACGCTGTCTTCAGTCTTCACTCGGCAGATGCAGTACGGTCGTACAAGCGATGGAGCTGCACATATCCGTGTAGTACAAGATCTCGCAAACCCTTGTTCGTACGACTGCGGTCGTTTTTGGCTCGGCTCTTTGGGCCTCCGGCTCATCCACGCAGCCACTGAGCAAACCTACAGATCACTATAGCGGTTAAAAAAATAGCTCCCACTCATATACAAATGAACGTGGATTGAGAAGGAACTGCCGAGCTACGTTTGTGGTACTCTGCCGGCTCCGCCACAGTACCTGCACAGTGACAGAGCCGGAGCCGGCGCGAGCTCCACCAAACGCGCCCGATATAGCGCACCAGACAAGTCAGGCGTTGTGGTTGCCGGCCAACAGATCAGAGTTTTCGTCTTTCGCAGCATGACACATAGCCATACAGTCATACAGATATCCTGGTTTTGACGATCGTAGTAGCTGTTGACGGAGATTATGAGAGGCATGCTATGGGCATCAAACACATCCAAACAGAGCATCTCGAAGAAATTCTTGTGAAAGTTTGTAGTCAGGTCCGATTTCCGCTCAAAGATTGCCATGTGTTCGTTCTTTGCGGTGCAAGGCCATGTACTCATGTTCCATTATTTCAATCAAGGAAGAAAGGGGGAGATCAATGATGTTGCAGTATACAGTCACCATCGATTAAATTAGGGCTTTGCTGCGGTACCAGGTGATTGTGAGCCATCAATTTATTTTGATCGGACGATTACGATAACATATTACTTCCTAAGAGGTAATAGGTGAAAAAATATTTAATTAAAAATTGAATAAATAAAGGAAGTTTTAGATATATTTTTTTTTCTAGATTTGATTGATGCAGGCATGATCCGGTGGATATGGCAAATTTTTTAAAAAAAATTGCAACTTTAAACTTGATATATTTTGGTTACCATGTATTTTTGTACGTGGCCGATACACTTGAATTTGTATTTAATATGACTTGTATGTGTGATAGTAATAGTATTTGATTATGTGTTACCGTACAGACGTACGTGATTACGTGTACGTGACATATGTGTAGCGAGTGGCCGGTAATGTGAGTACGGGTACGTGACTTGCATGTCGGTAGCGTGTGTATACGTGTTAGTACGTGGCTAGCAATGCGAATAGCTATCTCTACTATAATTGAAAACTTGAGACTCGTCACGGAGGCTTCAACGCTCCCGTCCGTATAAAAAGGAAACAAACGCCGTCCGTATCGATGAAAAAAAGGAAACAAAAATTCCCTTTCGTGCGAGCACGCCCGACGCCCGCCCGTCCGTCATCGACGAAAAAAAAGGAAGCCTGACGTCCGCCCGTCCGTCACGGCAACCAGCAACGGCGATTCCGCGACGTGCCCGTGCTAGCAGTCCACGACGGAGGACGACTGGGATCCTGACCACGGCAACCAGCAACGGCGATTCCGCGACGTACGATCAGCGGCGGCGACGACGAAGCTTGCAACTCGTACAGATAGACAAAATCAAAATTGACAGCGGTTACTTCACACACGCCCAGATCTCCGCCTCCAACTCCCGCACGCGCGCCCCTCCCTTGCGCCGCCGCCCGCCGCCCCACGGTCCGCCCCTAGGTGTGCCTCCCCAGATCCATCTTGCTCAGGTCCGACGAAGGCCGTCGCCCCTAGCCCGCCAGCGGCCGCGGCCCATCCCGTGCGCTGGCCTAGGCCGGCCGCTGGCAGCTAGCCGCCGGCCCTCCATGGCGCGACCCCAGGTCCGCCGCAGTGGACGAGCCCCGCCCCAAGCCGGTGATGGAGAAGGTCGCTGCAGCGGCACTTGGGGAGATGGAGATCGGCTAAGCATCCTCCATGTTGCGCACGTCATCTTCAACGGTTAACAGCCATGCGATTCTGCCTCCCCATTCAATAGCCCCCTCTAGATTAGGATTCTGTGTATCCATTTTTTTTCTCTGATTAGCCCGTGATGTAGTATTGCGGGCTCCAGTTTATTTTGTAGCCATATATTTTGAATGTTAGAATGTTGAATATTTCTTATTTTACCGTTGTTTGCTTGACCGCCTCCAAGATTGGATCCCTTGTCGATGTTCAGATAAACAAAGACCCAGAAGGCCTACGCATCTTCTACTGCTTGGTCCAGGTTTTAATCCTCAATCCTCCTAACCATTATATTGTTTTTTTTATTCCTTGCCGTGCATTGTAGTTTTAGGTGCCAACAGTATTCAAATCATAATATATATAGTTGAGATGACAGTGATAGGTACTTGTTCATTTGTTTTCTTAAATTGAACTGAGCAAGCAAGTCACCAGGATGTTTATGATAGGTTTTAGGGATTCGACATTGTGATGTCACCCAAAATTATGATTATGTGGGTTCTTATGAATGGTTTTTTTCTACATCAATAAAACAATTCTACATTATTTCAGGAATTTGAACTCAATCGTTGCGCAAAGGTCTTCTCTCCATCTTTTGCGAGTTCTAGGCAAGTACTTGCACATCTGACCATTGATGAGATACTACATTTCACACTCTCGCCTCAAGTACTAATGGGCATACCTGTATGGCGTATATGAGTCAAAATCAGATCAAAGCGTTTCACCTCTATCCAACAAGGTTCATCATAGTGACTTTGTCTCACGCAAACTATGTCATTTCACCTCAATTTGTTGATTCAGTAGTAAGTACTTCGATCAATTATTTTGTGCTTTTGATTGTTTCAATTGTTTCTCCCTTCATTGAATAATACTATAGTATTCCCTTCAATAATGAAAAAAGGAAATGTTGGATATCAACTTGTAACATGCCTTGATTTTTTTGAAAGGGTATGGATTTTTGCTGTTCACAAACATGTGAATGATGGTTTTTTCGATTCAAATTCATGCAGCTAAACCTGAAACTTTTCAGGCCTTTGGTCCATGACAAGAATTCTTATAGGACTGGTTAGTAGCAACAAATTTTTCCAGTGGTCAAGGAAAAACATTACATATCTCTATTTTTTTCTACTGGTACATTGCATAAGACTGCTGCTTTCTTTTCAATCACTCTGATCTGATGCAAATAGCAAGTGATGGGCCACATATATTCTTCGATTTGTGATGGAACTCCACACTATCACATCACCGTTAGTCAATTAGTACCAATCTAGATTCTTATTGCCATAGAAAATGGAACATAAATCCAACCATGACAGAAGCTGTATGGAATGCAGAGATGATTTGTTTCCTTTCGGAGCTATCATGTATTTATATTGCAGAAATGAGACATGAAGTTAGGCAAAGTCATCCCTATTAGGTGCAACTGTATCCTGGCCGCAAACGGATTGTAGCTTGTATGCATAGACCATGTCTCTTGGCTGATAGCAGAGCACAAAAATAATGGAGATTATATATTGCAGCTAACAGTTCTTGTCTTCGTGCCTGAATCTGAAACTTCAGTTTGGAATCTGTAATTTGGTGAATTATTTCATTTAGCTATAATACTTCTTGTATGGTTCTGAACTATGTCCATTTGCCTATAGCTTCAAGAACCATACAGTAGACAGGTGACAACAAATAAGCTTGGTCATTGTCTCCATCGACGGAAGACATCTGAGCTACCAAGGAGACAATGTTGGAGGCTGAAATAGTTGCTAGGAATTATAAAAAAATCGTCAAATGTTTAGTGTAGTTTTGACGTGTTCTCAAGACATGTGCATTTGTATGTCTGTGATGTGATTCTCTGTTATTCTACTCTGAAGTCATCCATCATGCCACAAGAACTAATGGTTCGTGATGTCAGGAAAGCTGTCCTAATTGTTCAATTGCAATCTTGTAATTTTTCTTTTAAATGAAAAAAAATTGGTGCTTTACTCAGCTTCCTACCACTTTGGTTGTTTCTTGGAAAAAAAATATAGTTGTTTGGTTGTTGTCGTGTGCATCCCTGAAATGCTGCCGTTGCGTTAGCACGGACATTATACTAGTTAAGCCTAATTAACTTATCATTAGCACATATGTTACTGTAGAACTAAACAAGTCCTCAGGACGTGGCAAGGATCTTTTCTTTTTCATTCATTTTGGTTTGAAGAAGTTCGATACTGTTTGAGTGAGCGTAACACGAGGAGTACTTTGCAGATGAGCGTCAATTACTACATTCCATGGTACAGGAAAAACAATGTCACGATGGCAGGCACTGAACCCTTGTGGTGTTCGATTCGATGCGTGTTCATCACTGCTCACTCAGTCTCGCGAGCCTCCGGACTGGAGCAGGAAGAAGACGGCGAGGCCGACGACGAGCCCCGACACGACGAGCGCCAGCGTCGGCGCCGGAGTAGCCACGCCGAAGTTCTGCACCAAAGGCAAGCGGCACTTTTCAAGTCATCTCTGTGCGGTACACGCATGCATTGCAATGACCGCGCGGACTGCTGCTGTCAATGTTACCCGTACCTGGAGGAAGCCTTTGCCGGTGGCCACCTCGACGGCGATCGCGGAGGCGAAGCCGACCATGGCCGCGCGACCCAGCCATACGTCCGGTCCGCCGCCACCGCTGCCCTGCTTCGCGCTCTGCTCGCACCTGATGGACAGCGACCTGCTGGCGGCCCTGCACGAGACGCGGCTGTTGCTGGAGCTGATGCGCAGTGCAGATGCTGCATCCGACACAATGCTTCTCAGAACACAAAGTAAATATACAGGACAGCCAACATTCAGTAGCCATGCCCATGCTCATCGTTCATAATGGTACCCTTGATATAAGAATTCAAAGAACATATTTTTGCATCGAAAAATCTCAAGGATCAACAAATGAACAAACGATAACTGACAAGATCTAAAAAAATTCTACAACTACAACTAGCACGCACTCGATGCCCTCATGCTAATCCTAACCACAGAACGCCTGAATTGATTCTGCAGCTAGATTCACATCCACGCTGTTGCGTAGCTAGCAAGATGGATCCAAAATCGAGCTGCAGACACGTACCGTGGCTGGACGACATGCCGCTGAACGACGGCGCCGTCGCGGCGGCGGCGGCCACATGAGACGAGCGGAGGACGGAGAAGAGTGCCATGAGACCGAACCGCTCGCCCTCTTCCTCCTCCTCTGCTCTTGAATGAATTGAATGAATCCTCGTCGTCGTGCTCGCCAGCTAAAGGGTAGTGGCAGGCTGGCAGCGCAGGAGCCAGGCGAAGTGAGTGGCCGTCGGCTGGCCGACGTGGCCGTCTGGAGCTGCAAGACACCCTTATCCGAGAAAAATTCCCCATTGCTTCACGTGGTGGGCTAGAGGAGCTTTCCATGTAGCTTGTTGGGCCCGCCTTGAAAAGGCCCCGTTAGGAAACCGAGACTGGGCCCAAGGCCTGTAAAGATTTTTTCGACGTCATTTTACACGATATACTCCCTCCATCCCAAATTAATTGTTGTTTTGTGTTTCCGTACCGTAACTTTGACTAGATTTATAGAAAATACGTACAACATTTATATCTCAAATAAATTTATTACAAAAAATAGGTTTAACAATCTATCTAATGATATTAATTGTGCACCATAAATATTACTATTTTTTATATAAAATTAGTTAAAGTTATTTCTCGGAAAGCGAGAACTATAATTGTTTTGGCACGGAGGGAGTATATATGGAAGCGGCAAAGAATAATATAAGCAACAGAGTTGCATTATAGGTTAGATGTTTGGATGAATCTCCATCCTGGTTTCTCACGGTCATTTTCTTCAGCTATTTTTATTCACTGTATAAGTTTAATTTTGTCCTAGTGGAAGACTTCGTTTTCAGTTTTTCAAAAAAGAAGACTTCGTTTTCTATCAATATAAAATCACTACTACAGATACGATATTCGACTCGTAATAACGAGGCTAATTTCAACGTAGCCCATTCCTGGTCAGATCGGGAACAATAATTGCAACCTCCAGTCAGAAAATTCCAAAAAAAAAGTATTTTTACTTGTTCATCGCGACAAATTTTCTTTTAAATACAGAGCAGTTCGCTTGTTGGTTTCAGGCAGGGCTTATCAGCCAGCCAACAATATTTTCATCTCACAACAAACCAGCACTAGCCGGGCTTATCAGTGCAGAAACTAACAAGCGAAGAGGCCGATAATCTCGACTGGAATAACAGAGAGAATCTTCAACGGTCAACGGGTCAAAGTCGAACTCCTACTTCAGGACAAACGGAGTGAGCCCATGAGTAACACCAACCCTCAGCATTTTTCCACCAAAAATTTGATGGCCAACAAGAGACTTTTTTGTGTTAGCAGGACAAATTCACCACCAACTTATCCAGGAATTTTTTACCACGATTTTTTACATTATATATAGAGGCTTGACAGGCATGGAGATTCATTGCAAGGATGTGCGGGACCAAGAAGTCCGTAGCCTACTTCGCCCACGACCCGGCGCACCGTCTGCTCCCGGCTGCCGTCGACGGCAACGACGATGGGGGCGACGAGTTCACCTGCGGCGGGTGCCTGGTGGCCGGCGCCGGCCCGCGGTACCGGTGCGCGCACCCGGGCTGCGGCTTCACGATCCACGAGGCGTGCGCGCGCCGGTTCCCGAGGACGCTCAGGTCCGCCGTGCACCCGCAGCACAGGCTGAGGCGGTGGACTAGTCCGCCGCCGTCGAAGCCACGGGGGCCGCCGCCGACTGCGAGGGCGAAGGCGACGGCCGAGGCGGTGAGTGCGAGGTGTGCGGCGAGGGCGTGAAGGGCGCGTGCTACGCGTGCGCCGCGTGCGGCGTGGCCGTGCACCCGCTGTGCGCGCGGATGCCCGCGTCGGCCCGTGGCCCCGCGCACCCTGGGGAAAGAGGATGCGGCGGCGGCGGCGGGGTGTGAGTCCTGTGGCCGGCCCCTGGGCGCGTGGCGGTACCGGTGCGTGACGCGCGCCGCGGAGCTGCACCCGCGGTGCCTGGTGCCGGCGGCGGACCAGTGCAACGGAGAAGGCGCCGGCGAGGGCGGGCGCGCGGAGTCCGCGGCGAGGAGCTGCTGCTGCGGGCTGCTGCACGACCTCACGCGCTGCATGGCCACGCTCGGCACCGCCCTCAACTACCGTGGCTACTACAATGGCTGACGCATCATCACTCTATGTACGTACGTACGTGCGTGCGTCGATGTATCATGTATTCATGTATGCTCATGCTGTATACGTATCCGGTTTGTAAGGCGGCAAGTTTGGAAATTATGCTTAAATTTGAAAATTTGAATCTTTGGGGAGACGAACAACTTGATGATACTTCAAAAAATCGTGTAAAACTGATGTTGAAAATTTGTTCCGGTGGCGTCAGAGTGTTCTGGCACCTCAACAACTGGACCAGCCATGCAAGAGGGACTGAGAGAGAGAGAGAGAGGCATTGCTCCTTGGGCCTCGCTGAATTCTTCTGGCTTTCTCGGCTCCATAGCAAGGCCCATGTTTTTTTATTTGAGGGTAATGGAGCAAAGGCCATGTACAAGTAGAGATTCCCAATTGGGCTCTAATGACTGCCAGAACGTCGTACAATTGGGTAGCTAATTGGATCATATACTTTTAACTCCCCAATTGGGCTCTAATGATTGTATCTTTTAACTCCCCAGTTCAGCTCATGTTGGCCCAGAAGGAAAAAAAAGTTTAGATCAAGAAAAATTGTTAATGTTCCTGCTTGCAAGACAAATTGTTTTACAGAGAAAAAAAAAAAAAAAAAAGGTTTCATCAGAGAGAGAAAAAACAAGTTCCTATACGAAAGAACTTTCATGGAGAAAGGGAAACAAATGTTCCATATAAGACTAAGAGAGAAAAAGTGTTCCAGTTTGGAGAAATGAGTAACAAAGACGTGTGGGGTGGGTGGGTGTGTGTGTGTGTGTGGGGGGGTGGAGAAGAAAAGGTGTACAAAGAAGGAAAAAAATTCAAAGGAAAGAAATACAGTTTGTGAAGGAAAATATGTTCATAGAAGCCTAGAAATAGACATTACGAAATATGTTTTAGATTTATGAGGAATTCACTCAAACTTAAATGAAAAGTGTTCCATCTTGTTTTAGTGAAGGAGTTTGTGTACGGAGACAAAGCCACAATTTAGCACTTTGGCCTTTGGGTTCTGCCTCCGAAAGAGTGCGCGGACGTAGTCATGCAGAGGCTGTGCCAAATAGATACTCTCGTTATCTATTATAATCAGTCGGTGTAAAATTGCAATCAAAATCGCCAGAGTCAAGAAATTTATACGTTAAGGGAGGACAATCGAACGATTGTGAAAACTGAGTGAGCTGAAATGAAGGTATTTTTTTTCCTAGAAAATCGTAGCTCGAATCCACGCCCGGGTCGGGCCAAGTTGATCGATCGGACAGCCTATATATATCCTCAGGCCGTGACAATGCCGTGCTGTCTGGTCCAAACAAATATGGAGAGCCGCCCATCCCGTCTTCCTCGTCCAGGTTCGCTCAAGGCACACACACACGCTTAACCTGCAGGCCAGGTGCCCATCCATGTGCATGTGGTGTGGCCGGTGTCGACGCAGATGGGACAACACAACAACACGCCGGCAGATGTTGATCCTCATGCCTGCTGATTATTATTATATTCATTTCACATACACAAGAGTAAATATATGATGATTAGTACATGCATGCGCTTCTCCTTGTGCTTGTGGGCAACTGTTGGCACTGTGCACGCTTGTCTACCAGCTGCACATGACATCCATCCAGGTACACGAGTGGTCGGTCACCCTCACCCCCTGCCGTGACTTTTCGTATTTATTTTTCTATCTGAATTCTAGAAAGAGTAGACGCTGGAAACGGGGGGGGTTGGGGGTGTGGTGTCATCGTTTGTCAAATCCAACCCCAACACCATTTGTGCGGTTTTGATTAATTGCTGATTAATTTCACGGATTTGCTAAGTTTAACAGAGGGGCCATTTAAACGCTTTTGTCGGGGACCTAATACCGGGGTACCCCAAAGAGGAGGAATCAATGAACCATCGAACGGTAAAACTCCCCCAAAGCGCGGTTACATCTCTTGCCCGACCAAACGGAAGTCTTGTTCGCCGCGCCAAGCGCCCATGTGCCCTTGGGACCCGCTCTACCTACCGCCCGACGGCTGAAAGGAGGCGACTCGCCTCGCCGACGGCTGGGCTCGGCTTCACCCGACCCCGGGGATGCGCGACCGCCTCGCAACCCCCCGAGGGTTGGGCTCGGCCCGTTCGACGGCCGGGGATGACTCCGCTCCGCCTGACGGTAAAAACTAGGTTTTACCTCATCCAAACGGCCAATGACGAATCTCGCCTCGCCCGATATCCGAGAGGTCGGCCCGATCTCACCGACGAACCGCTACCTGCACCCTCATGATGACGATTGCCGGGTAAGACAAGACGTCGGGTCAACGCGGCGTTAGACGCCATGCCCCGCACCTGCAGGAAGTACCGTCAGGATGTGACCAGGCAAGCGCTTGGACCCCTCCAGGCGTGGCAGAGCCTGAACAGTGTTGCGGGCGCCTGCTCTCCGTCCTACAGTGTTGTAGGCGCCGCCCTCAGCCTCCAGACGAAGAACCCGACGCAGACATACGACAACCACTACGTTCCAAGGGCAAACCAAATATCAAGCGCCTCCGACCCCCCACGGGGTCGGGCTCGCAAATCTCGTTCGACACACCGCCCATAGGGCGGGATGGGACGTACCCACTTGCCTAAACATGGCGTGGCGTGGCCCACGACGGTCCACAATCGCCTCATCTCGACACGATCCGCCATGATGGGCAGATCAGCGTGAAGAAGAAGGAAGGACCGGGTTCCTCAAGGACCTTCTATGCTCTTAGTGTTTTCTTCTTCCCTCCTCAGTAAAAACCCCGCTTCCCTTGATCTATAAAAAGGAGGCGGGCTCCCCCTAAGGGACCGATTCGAGTTAGAGCACACATACACACGCATCACACGGCCAAGCGCCAACAGAGCTCTTGGCGCCCTTCCAATCACTCCATCGGGACTTGGGGTCTCTCCTCTCCCAAACCGTTTGTACCCCTACTACGAACCTCATTCGTGCTAATAATACACGAGCGAAAGAACAGATCGGGACGTAGGGACATTTAGCCCGAACCAAGATAACCCTTGTGTCCTTTAGCGCACCATCCCGCCTAACGCGCATCAATTACAAATTTACTCGCCGGTGTTTGTTCGAAACACCGGCGGTTAGCGCGCCGTGTAGGGCCTTTATGCTGTTCCAAACCAAGCCGCGGATGGCTAACCATGACATTAGCTGGTCCCAGCGCACACGTGCGTTTCGGGAGCCTGGATTTCATTGTCGTGGGGAGGAGAGTTGTCATGGTCGCACGCCGCCATCCATCTCTCTTCCTCCAACGGCCTTTACCATGAGAGGCTTGGGTGTTAGCTCGACGTCTCCCATGGACCATGGGAGTCTAGGGAGAAGCAGCATCGCCTCGCCATCGCCAACGGCGATAGCATGGCACGACCTTCTGGAGAGAGACACATCTCTCCGGAACGACACGTACGGAGCGCCCCGACGGCGCTTCCGTTCGGTCTCCGCAACACCGCGGCGACCGCGAGCCATCTTCTGGCACTACGCATGGTTCTAACGCCCACGGACAACGAGTTCGTGGGGGTGATTGAACACGACACGGAGTCTCTCCACAAACTCCTCGCCGAAGAGCCAGAGTCATCCTCTAGCCTCGACTCCAGCAGGGGGAGCCATCGTCCTTCCCGGGGATGCTTTGTGACGCAAACCCCCGAGGGACACGTCGAAAGCGTCTCCGGGGAGGAGACTACCCCCGCATTCGACCCCGCCGGGGCAACCCAAAGAGGAGCAGCCGCCCCGCCCCACGTGGGGGTGGAGCAGCTAAGAGCCCGAAGGGAGGAGATCGCTGAAGCCGGGCAACAGCTTGCCCGAGAATATGAGAAAGTCAATAAGGAGATCAGACGCCACGGAGATGGTGGGCGCGCACACACCGCTGCCCGGGCTGTACACCAAAGGATCCTCACCGACGACGGGGCTCTCCCACACTTCGCTCGGGCGAGCCAAAACATCGCCGCCGCAACGGCCTTACTTCACGGTCTCCCAGAGGCCACGACGTCCGAGGATCGCCAGGCCCGCCAAGAAATCCGCACATTGCTCGAACGTGCGGCGGCACAGCAAGCAAAGAGCTCGTTGTCTCGGCGACGCGAGCTCGACACCAGCCAGCGCACGCCCTCGGTGCCTCCCGCCAAAGATGCGTTAGTTCACCAAACGCCACCAGACGGCAGGCGAGACGCTACAGTCCCGGTGCATGAACGCCTCGGCCACAACCGCGACGCGCGCAGCACCATCGACGCCCGCAGACGCGCCTACAATGACTCAAGAGAAGGAGCCAGACATGGCTACCACCCTCAGCGCGGCGGACGCTACGACAGCGGCGAGGACCGGAGTCCGAGTCCCGGCCTCCCAGGACCTCAAGCCTTCGGCCGACACATCCTCAACGCCGCTTTCCCATCAAGGTATCGACCGCCCACCAACGTTCCTAAATATTCCGGTGAAACTAACCCCGGGCTCTGGCTCGAAGACTATCGGCTTGCCTGTCAAGCCGGTGGCGCAAATGATGACCACTTCATTATTCGTAACCTCCCACTGTTCTTGGCCAATTCGGCGCGAGCAGGGTTGGAGCACCTACCGTCCAACACCATACACAGTTGGGCGGATTTAAGGGAAATCTTTGTGGGAAATTTCCAGGGCACATACAAACGCCCCGGGAACCCATGGGACCTTAAGAACTGCCGTCAGAAGGCCAGTGAGACTCTCCACGAGTACATCCGGCGCTTCTCACGGTAGTGCAACGAGCTTCCCAACATCGCCGACACCGACGTGATAGGAGCCTTCCTATCGGGGACGACCTGTGAGTCTTTAGTTCACAAACTGGGATGCAGGAGCCCGCGAACAACCAAGGAACTCCTAGACATCACGACCAGTCACGCCTCAGGGGAGGAGGCAGTCGGAGCGATCTTCGATCGCCTCGACGGCAAGGCCAAGCGGGATGAGGACGCCGGCGAAGGCGCCTCCAACCGTTCCACCAAAAAGAAGAACAAGAAGCAACGGTGTGACGATTCGCTCACAGCCGCTGCCGACCGCAAGGGTAGTCGGAAGCCCGTGGAGGGCACTCCGAACCACTTCGAAAAGATGCTCGAGGGGCTGTGTCCGAACCACGCCTTCCCTATGAAACACCTGCTCAAAGACTGCGGTCTCATGCGCAAGTTCTTACTCAGGAGCACCAACAAAGGGGAGCAGGGGAAGGCGCCTGCCCCCGCCGTAGACGATGAGGAGGAGAAGGACGAAACCTTCCCAACGCCGAGCGGCGCCCTTATGATCTTCGGAGGATCAACGGCCTACGACTC